ACAAATTAGGTAAAAGAGCACGAGGTGTCATTCTAGAATGCATTTACATGGCTTCATGGGTTTCGTCTGAGAATGTCTGACCTGTCACGCCATTGATAGATCGATATTGGCCCTAATGTTATGATTGCAGAATTGATAAAATACCTGATTAAAAAAGAACAAATGGTCTTGAATGGTCTCGCAAAATTCATCCCTTTCTCGCCGGAATTACCTAACATGTTTTATTTTTTCGGATTGGTCGCTCGCGCAAATTTTTCCATTTACGAAACACGAGTTGAAAGGGGGAAACCACTCCGTGTGATATTCTTTATATGCGTGTGATATTCTTAAGTTCGTGAATAATATTTCTGTCAAGACAATAATGCAAGTTGCAGTTTAAGATGACTCAATAATTTTGGTTTGAAATATGTTTTCCGGCCTGTATGAATGTCTACATTCTTCTGCTTTTATGTGCCATAAGAGCCCGTCAGAGCGACTTTCAAGGGCTTGGGTTTTAAAACACCCTTAAAACAAATAGACACAGGTAATAATATAAGCGGCTTATCTAACGCCCTTTTGCACGTTATATCAACAAAGATATTAAAGTAGTTTTGAAATCTAAAAGCAAAACAAGTAAAGGTCCAATTCACAACAAGAAAGAAACAACTGCAGTCTGTAACGCTAAATTTTCAAAATATTTTTTTTCTGCTCGCCGTCAAGTTCTCTTTTGAGTTAACCGGAAATGAGTTTTAACCTAGGCAGTGGCTAACTATAAACATTTATCTGGCCCTCAAGGATAAATATGCAGATTTCGCATATGACACGTTGTGAACAGGTTGTGGAAGATCACAGGAAAGATTACTTTTCGTGTGGAGGCAGTGTGCCAACATTTGCCAATTTGATGACGAAAAGGAATAAAACCCCGCAAATTTTATCTCCGTGTGACTTCCTATGTGTCACACAAAGCCAGTGAAAAGCGTTCCGCTCACTTCCGGTTGGCTCGGTTACCGAATAACGGACCAATCAAACAGAATATCTCCGTGTGAATTACCCTCCCAAACGTACAAACAAAAGGTTTTTAAACCAATCACGCTAACTTGGCACATATTCCATTGACAGGCGACAATATTCACTCGTGTTTCTTTTACAAAACAATCACAAGCTTTGGCGCGCATAGAAATTTTCCCACTCACACCAAAAGCTTTTATTTGGATAAGTATTGTAAAGGTATAGTGTTTGACATAAAAGATTTTCGCAGTAAGGGATTCACAAAGTGACGGCCAAAGAAGCAAGGTAAAATGTATTTTAAAAGTTAGAGTTGCTCATAGCGTCAGAATGTCTAGAAAATTGACTTAAAATTTGGCTAATCAGGCGCGCGCGTTCTCCAATTCACTTGTGATTCGATCATGCCTAGCGGGTCATGTCCATATGAAACGCCTCTCTTTATCTTTTCGCAGATAAAGGGAATCACTTCACGGAAATGTGCTTTTAAGACATGGAGGGACTTGGCGCAGGAGCGGGCAAAGACAAGTTTTTGGGTAAATCTACTAATGATGATGATAATGTTACATGGAAGCGTGACATTGCCAGAATAGATCTATCAGCGACGAATGAAGATTGTATTACAGAAGAGCTGTGTGACTTGCAAATTGAAGTAACCTCAAGAAATAGTGAAACTTCTGATACCAGTGAAAGCCGTGATGCCTGTGACAAATTGCTCGATGACCGGAAATGCACATGCAACGACGATACAGCTTTTCTCACGACGCCGGCCAGCGACTTGAGAAAAGCCGGTTGTGTTACGATCGGCGAAGACGAGTGCCGTATTTGTCAAAGCAGTGGGGAAGAAGTCTTGATCAGTCCCTGTAAATGCGCCGGATCTACGAAGTGGGTCCACGAAAGTTGTCTTGTGAAATGGTTCCAAGTTTCGCAGACGTCCTCGTGCGAGCTGTGTTCTCGTCATGTCGCTATAAAGAAGCGCACAAAGCCGCTACAGCAGGTAAGCAAATGACAATTTTATTCAGATCGAGGCAGTTACATATTTTTGTACTTCATAAGGCACATGGTTTCTTTGTTTGCAAAAATAACACTGTTTTAAGCATTATTTATTAATTGCAATGTTTTGTTTATATTCGTGCGCCCGAGTGATTTTAGTTAATACTTAAAATACGGATTAGCCACTACGAAAATATCGTCAAATTTGAGGCTAATTTAGCACGTAGAATACTGGGTTTCCGGTTATTATCAATGTCAATTTTATCTTTTTAACCACAAAACCACCCACTGGTATTAATTCTTACTGTAACAACGCGATTTTTTACTTCTGTCGCATCAAATCGCTAGAAGATCAATGTTATGTCCACACAAATACCAAAGAAACACACGTTGTATTCAGTGCAACGTGGTGGAATCAAGTGTTACCAGATAGATTCTCGCGGTCTGAGTAATTACTTTCAACCTGCATTTTATATACATAAATCTGCGACGAATATATTACAGGTGGGTAATTATAAACAGTAATAGAAATATCTGACGCCGTGAAGGTGCAGGGAAATTGAAAATTAATTCTGAAACTTGACAAACAGGCGCTTTCATTGCGGCGAGGGAATAACATTTTTGTATTGAAATGATTTGTTGATACATGGCACGGCAATTTTCTATTTGAGTTCTATTTCAAGTCGAAATGTCGCCAAATAAAAGTTGAAATAATAATTAAAAGTTGAAATTTCGCCAAATAATGATAAAAAAGTCATCACATGGCTTGTTGGCATTTCGCTAAAAGTGTTGAAAAGCACTTTAATTCGAAGTGTAGCTCCACCATCAACTTGAAAGTGAAATATGATGGTCATAAAAAAACGAGAAACAATAAAACCCACTAGACAGCAGTTATTGTCATTTATCAACACTTGTCAAAATTTTGCAATCATCTGGGACCTCGCTCCGTGCAATTCTAAAGCCGAGCACTTTATTTGCATTAAGCCAATTATTTTTATCCTCTTGTCTAAAAATAAATGTTAAAATATTAAGCTCCAATTTTTGCCAAAGACGCTTGCAATTTGAATACCATGTATTTCTTAGTTTGTTTTTTTTTTTGAATTTCTTCAGATCGGAGTTTGCGATTGCCTTGAATTGTAAACTTATTATCAAGTTTTTTGTAATTATTATTTCCTAACACATTTTTGCTTATTTAACCTGCATGCGACCTATTGTGAGCAATTATTGCGAAATTGTTCTCCAGCGTTTGTTAGATCTTTTCAGTTTTTTTTTCTCATACGAATTAACTCGTTCGACAAAATTCGTAAAGCCACTTTCTACTTCAGTTTTAAGTCTTCGCAAACAATATTCAATATTTTTATTATTTCTTTAATATTATACAACTCCAGGAATATAATTATTCAGTCGAAACAGTGGTCATTCGGCAGACGGTACATTCCGCGAGACAACGGTCTGCCACGCGACAACCACTGGCTTTTTACAAGCCGCCATTTGCCTCAACTTGCAAAAATGAGTTTCAGTAACTGAAAATGAACGACCAGGTAAAACATCTTCTTACACAAATGTTTTCGCACGAAGACTCGTCTTCACACAGGTTAACTAAGGCAATTCGTAAATGGTGAATTTCACCATGAAATTTCTGAAAATCTGTGTGTAAATGAAAGAGCAGCTAATTTCAAGGTTAGCAGCCCTCTGTAAATAAAAGTACATTGGTGTGACATGACCAAAGAAAATAAATATTGTCTTGTCTCGGCTAACATCGGTAGAGTACTTTATTGTTAGTTGTTCTAGTGAGCTAAATACGTTATATAATACGCTTTATTGCGTAAATTTAACAATTGTAATTTGGTCGGCAGTG